AGAGGAGTGGTACAATCCACAAGGTTCAGTGAATGACAACATCAACAGCTGTAGTTTCACTGAAGCACATTTTTGAATGTGGCATGGCTTACATAGCTATCAGCAGAGTGACCTCCCTTAGTGGACTGCACCTACTGGACATACAGTAGATGAGACATGATCGTATTTGAATCCAGAGATCACAATCTGCCCTGGAGACCATGAGACAAGCCAACATGGATGACATGATGCTGCTTCTTCAGATCAGACAAACACTGAGCAGATCATACACTCACATACCATCATTCCCCATACTCTGTTTGACCAATCAGCCGCAGTAACAATAACCACATGTAGTCACATGACCACAGCGGGGACATAGTGGGAAAAAATCTTCAGCCATGGTAAACAGGGACTGAAAACATAAAAATGGCAGCAGCATCTCTCTCCAATACTACAAAAGAAGAGGGTGAACACCCCTGGCCACATATACAAAGCATGATTCATCTTACACACAGTGCAAAAGAACAGCTTCATAATGTGGCGTCTTCTCTGTCTGCCAAAACACATTTCAACATATAAAAATTTAATGTCTAACCTGAGAAAACATGTCATGGTAAGTTTAGCTTTTTCATTTAATGTGTTAGTGTTAGCATAAATAATTGGCAAATAAGTTAATATAAGTTTCTTAAATTTGTTCTGTTGGATAAGTAGTTACAGAAATGTGGCGACCACAATAGTCACAGATTCCCTCACTGGCTCTCGGCGGGTAACACAGACAACATTTGACAAACTTGTGCTAACCTCTGTATGTGAAGCCAACCAACCATTTTCTGTTGTGAAGACAACATCCTTCAAAACTATAATGGAAACCATGCAACCTCAGTGTACAGTAATGACAAGGAAAAGGTTATGCACAAAAATACAGGTCAAAATTATTCAGACATGTTGAGACTTTTAAAACCTCCAACAAAACAAATCCTGCTGTTTAACACAGGCGACCCATCAGGATAACATTTCACATGTGATGCAGCAGGTTACTTCAGGTGGAATCTAATGTAGTAATTATTTTAAATGCTTTGTCATTTAAAGGCAAAACACAGCTTTTATATTGCGCAGACGTGAAAACTTCAGAAACAGCAAGAATTCTGGCTCTCAAAGACCTGTTACTGTGCCTTGAAAAAGTCCACCTCTACTCCACTCATTAATCTAAATTAGTAGTACCTGTCTGAGATCTTTAAAATCACCTGTCCACCCCACAGTCAGTCAGACGCCAACTACTACCATGGGCAAGACCAAAGAGCTGTCAAAAGACACCAGAGACAAAATTGTGGACCTCCACAAGGCTGGAAAGGGCTACTGGGCAATTGTCAAGCAGCTTGGTGAAAATAGATCAACTGTTGGAGCAATTGTTAGAAAATGGAAGAGGCTAAAGACAACTGTAAGTCTCCCTTGGACTGGGGCGCCCATGCAAGATCTCACCTCGTGGGGTATCACTGATGATAAGAAAGGTGAGGAATCAGCCCAGAACTACAAGGAAGGAGCTGGTCAATGACATGAAGAGAGCTGGGACCACAGTTTCAAAGGTCACTGTCGGTAGAACACTACGCCGTCATGGTTTCAAATCATGCATTGCACGGAAGGTTCCCCTCCTCAAGTCATCACATGTCCAGGCCCATCTGAAGTTTGCCAAAGACCATCTGGATGATCCAGAGGAGGCATGGGAGAAAGTCATGTGGTCAGATGAGACCAAAGTAGAACTTTTTGGTCTAAACTTCACTCATCGTGTTTGGAGGTTTTCTGTGAAGGGGACAGGACGTCTGCACTGTATTAAGGAGAGGATGAGTGGGGCCATTTATTGTGAGATTTTGAGCAACAACCTCCTTCCGTCAGTCAGAGCATTGAAGATGGGTCGTGGCCGGGTCTTCCAACATGACGACCCGAAGCACACAGCCAGGATAACCAAGGAGTGGCTCTGTAAGAAGCATATTAAGGTTCTGGAGTGGCCTAGCCAGTCTCCAGACCTCAATCCAATAGAACATCATTGGAGGGAGCTTAAACTCCGTGTTACTCAGCGACAGCCCCGAAACCTGACAGATCTAGAGGAGATCTGTGTGGAGGAGTGGGCCAAAATCCCTGTTGCAGTGTGTGCAAACCTGGTCAAGAACTACAGGAAACGTTTGACCTCTGTAATTGCAAACAAAGGTTTCTGTACCAAATATTAACACTGATTTTCTCAGGTGTTCAAATACTTATGTTCAGCAGTGCTAGACAAATAAATTCTTTAAAAATCATACGTGATTTTCTGAAAAAAATTTTTTAAATTCTGTCAGTGGGAATGCACCTACAATGTGAATTTCAGACCCCTCCATGATTTCTAAGTGGGAGAACTTGCAAAATCGCAGGGTGTTCAAATACTTCTGTTCCTCCCTGGTAGGTGTTGGATTTTACCCAAATTCTTTTATTGAAAGCATGAGAAGTGAAGAGAGGAGAGGTCTTTAAAATCAACAGGAAGTTTACTGGAAGTCTGAGCACAGGTAGGTCTTACAGCGCTGGGATCAGAGAGACAGAGCTCCCAGACGAATTCCATTCTCTGAACCCCGAATTAAGTTTTTACAATACATTTTATCTTCTTGGGCTGCTCCACCCTGGGCAGGGGTGCAACCTTCAATAGTTCGTGATTATATTGGTCATTTGGTGTGAGTAGGTCAACCCCTGCCTGCGCTTGCTTGCTGATATGTGATCTAGACCAGGTGTGTTTGTGTGTCTCCAGCACCCTGAGCTTGATCTAGGTGCGCTGATCAATGGGTGGCCTGAGTTGCAGGCCCCCTGTGTGTGTGATGCTAATAAGTATGTTAAACTAGCCAGGTGGTCATCTCAGGTTGTAGCCCTCGGCCTCTGCAGGACACCCCAAAACAAAGCAGAACTTGGGATATGCTAAGTGGGTCGAGGTGTGAGTGTAAAACATGCCAACAGGTCTTTGCTAAAATGTAAATAGGCTGTCTGGTCACAAGGAGATGCAGACATCCTATCTCTACACAGAAGTTACAGCATTCAAAGTAAGCAGATTCTACTTCATTACAGTTTTAAGATACTGTATATAAGCAAGGGAAATAAATGTATTAAAAATAATCAAAGCTCAGTAGTTCTGGACAATCATCAATGCAGCTGTAATATGTATAAACAAGGAAAATAAAGTTATGAAAAGTAACTAAAGGTATGAGAAGTTACTAAAGCTTATACAGTAACTAGAATCTTACATAGGCTAGTGGTTAAGGCACAGCGCTCTCGCCACTTCGCCCTGGGTTAGGGTCAGGGTTGCGTCAGGAAGGGCATCCAGCGTAAAACACGTATAGTGGTTAAAAAGGTTCATCAGTTGCATTACTGCAGAAGCTGCACTGATCCTCCTGTCAATCTCCCGTTCCATCCTTCCCTCACTTGTGAACAAGACCCCAAGATACTTGAACTCCTCCAGTTGAGGCAGGAGCTCTCCACCAACCTGAAGGGAACAAGCCACCCTTTTCTGACTGAGAACCATGGCCTCGAACTTGGAGGTGCTGATTCTCATCCCAGCCGCTTCACACTTGGCTGCAAACCACCCCAGTGCACGCTGGAGGTCCTGGTTTGATGGGGCCCACAGGACGTCATCTGCAAAAAGCAGAGACGGGGTCCTGTGGTCCCCAAACCGGACTCCCTCTGGCCCCTGGCTGCACCTAGAAATTTTGTCCATAAAAATAATGAATACAACTGGTGACAAAGGGCAGCCCTGCCGGAGTCCAACATGCACCGGGAACAAGTGTGACTTACCGCTGGCAATGTGAACCAAGCTCCTGCTCGGGTTGTTCAGGGACTGGACAGCCCTTAGCAAAGGGCCCCGGACCCCGCACTCCCGAAGCACCCCCCACAGGGCATCGCGAGGGACATGGTCAAATGTGTTCTCCAAATCCACAAAACAAATGTGGACTGGTTGGGCAAACTCCCATGAACCCTCCACCACCCTGAAGAGGATATAGAGCTGGTCCAGTGTTCCGTGGCCAGGACAAAAACCACATTGTTCCTCCTGAATCTAAGGTTTGACTTTTGGTTGAATTCTCCTCTCCAGTACCCTGGCATAGACTTTCCCGGGGAGGTTGAGGAGTGTGATCCCCCTATATTTGGAACACACCTTCCGGTTCACCTTCTTGAAAAGAGGGACCACCACCCTGGTTTGCCAGTCCAGAGGCACTGTCCCCAATTGCCATTCGACATTGCAGAGGCGTGTCAACCAAGACAGCCCGACAACATCCAGAGACTTAAGGTACTCAGGGCGGATCTCATCCACCCCTGGTGCCTTGCCACCAAGAAGCTTCTCAAGTACCTCAGTGACTTCAGCTTGGGTGATGGACGAGTCTACCTCCAGGGGGCTGTGACCCCCAAACTGGGAGAGTGGCTCCAACAGATCCCAGGAACAACATCTGAGATCTCTGTCCAGAAGAGTGCAGTCCTTGGAACAGCTAAGATACTGGGCAGGATCCTCAAGGTCCCAGGCCTCTGGGAGAGGACCTGAGCTTGAAGGAAGGAATAAAAGACCGCCCCAAAGTGGGGGGCAAGTGTGGGGTTTTTTTATATGTGTATATATATATATTAAAAAATTCCAAAAATTCCCCACTCGCCCCACCACTTCGGGGCAGTCTTTCCTTCCTTTCTGCATGATCATGCAGAAAATCTTGCTAATACATGTAATCCTGTGGAATTTAAAGTAGGAGTCATTAATATCTATGACTACAATTTCTGTGTTCAGAAGGTTTTGTTTATTTTGTGTATTTCACAGTCACTGTATACACTTTTTGAGGGATTGTTGGCTGAGCTGCTGAGATTTTGGTGTATTCATTTAGAACTCAGTGGTATATAGTATTTATACCCAGAAAACGTCCATTAAGAAAAATATCTTTCTCAAAAATGCAGTGTGTGTGTTTAAGAGGTAAGACAGATTAAACTACCATTCCATATATACAGTGGAAAAAATTAAAGCACAGGGGTACTTTAGAACTTTGAGCTTGCGTCTCATAGGCCAGGGTCTGGTCCGAATGTTGGCAATGATCTCCTTTTGGTACTGAATATTCTGGAACATTTCCTCTGGGTCATTGCTGTCCACCCGCTCATCCTCTTTATCTTCATCATCTGAGGACCTGCAAGACAAGACAAGACAAAGGGACAAAGTTCTGCTTTCAGTCTTGATGTACCTGGTGATCAGAAGGCTGACAGATTTTAAACATACCTGACACCTCCACCTGCTCTTTAGCTATGTAAGCACTAGTGGTCTTAATGCTCAACTCTGATCTTTCTATCAGATCTAATCTTTTTTTTCACCATGCAAGACTACATTGCTGAAGAAAAGACATGTTGAAGCTTGTTTAAAGTTTGCTGCACAGCATTTAGACAAGCCTGTGAAATACTGGGAGAATATAGTCTGGTCAGATGAGACCAAAATTGAACCCTTTGGATGCCATAATACACACCATGTTTGGAGGTCAAATGGCACTGCACATCACCCCAACAACACCATACCAACAGTGAAGTTTGGAGGTGGGAACATCATGGTGCGGGGCTGTTTTTCAGCATATGGTATTAGAAAACTTCATATAACTGAAGAAAGGATGAATGGAAAAATGTACCGATACATTCTTGTTAAGAATCTGCTGCCATCTACCAGGATGATGAAGATGAAACAAAAGTGGACATTTCAGCAAGACAATGATCCAAACACACAGCCAAGGAAACTCTCAATTGGTTTCAGAGAAAGAAAATAAAGCTGTTAGAGCATCCCAGCCAATCACCTGACTGGAATCCAATATGAAATCTGTGTAAAGAACTAAAGATCAGAGTTCATAAAAGATAATGGTACTTCTAATAAATGTCAGATGCTAGCAGCATTACAGGTGACGTTGACCAATTTGGAAGCGTGGCTCCTAGATGTAGCTCAGCCCAAGCTAGCCACCTCCTAGCACTTCCCAAGCAGCTGGGATCTCAGCCAGGTGGCTGGGTGACAGTTTGCAAGAGTCGCAACTCAAGACAAATGCCCATGGTGCATCGCCTGCCTGTTCATGTTTCAAATCGATTTTCCCCACTCAGCGGCACACCTGCTGAGAAAACAACTCTGGTAATTGGCGGCTCTATAGTCAGAAATGTGAAGCTAGGGACACCGGCCACAGTCAAATGTATTCCTGGGGCCAGAGTGGGTCACATCGAATCCTTTTTGAAGCTGCTGACTAAGGAAAAGTGTAAATACGGTAAGATTGTTATTCACGTTGGCACCAGTGACTCCCGATTTCACCAGTCAGTGGTCACTAAAATTGATGAGTCAGTGTGTAACTTCGCTAAAACAATGTCGAACTCCATAGTTTTCTCTAGACCCCTACCCAACTGACCACTGATGACATGTCATCATTAAACCACTGGCTGTCTAGGTGGTGTCCAGAAAACAATGTGAGCTTCATAAACAACTGCAAAACATTTTGGGGAAAACCTGGTCTGATTAGCAGAGATTGCATCCATCCCACTTTGGATGGTACGGCTCTCATATTTAGAAATCTGGATGAGTTTATTTTACAACCTAAATTATGACAACCCAGAGCTGAGACCAGGACACAGGGTCACAGTCTTACATGCCTCTCTGCAGCTGCTACCCACCCAAAACTCCCAGTACCCCATAGAGACTGTGTCTGCCCCAACCACCTAAATTATATCAATCAAAAATCAACTGAAGAGGAGTTATTCATAAGAGCCTAACCTAATTAAAATTAAGACTACTCTTATAGAACAAAATAACAGGAAAATTAAATGTGGACTATAAAATATCAGATCTCTCATCTAAATCTCTTTTGTTCATGATTTTATAAGTGAACTGATTTATTGTGTCTCACTGAAACCTGGTTACAGCTGTTGTGAAAAGTTAGACCCAAAGATGCAGATTACCAGGGAGTGAAACAAGAGAAGAGTTTATTGACCTTAAAGAATGAATTAACTGGGTGAAGGAAAAAGAGGACAGAGGCCAAGCAGGTACTGGAAAATACAGGCAAGTGGAGTTGGCTCTGTACAGGACAGGTGGGAAGAGCAATGAAGAGCTGGGGACAGGTTGGGCAGGAACCAGTTGGACTGGGTGGACCTTGGCATGCAGGTTGTGGAAGCAAGACAGCAGGAGTCAGGGGAACCATGGGACCATAGCGTACTGGTGAGTGAGGCCGGATGGCAGACACCATGGCAGTGTACAGGTGAGAGGAGATGGTGAGTTGACTGGAGGAGTGAGATAAGTAGTCAGTGAAGAACCGATGACCATTGGGCAGGTGGGCAGAAGGGGTCACTGCAGACACTACAGGTGACAATCCTTTTCCGAGTTGCAGGTGAGTTGACCGGAGGAGCAAGGAGAGTGGTCAATGAAGAACAGATGACAGTGTGACTAGCAGTCAGGACAATTCACAGTTGTCAGGTTTGCCCGGCTGCACCTTCCTCTCTTCTCTCTTTCTTGCTCTAGTCTGCTTTTCTCTTTGACTCTCTTGATTAACACACCTGTCCTGATTTTCTGACACGCTTCAGCTGCGCCTCCTTTGTCACTCCCTATTTATACTCGGCTTACCTTCACTCCCTTGCTGGTTCTTTCTAGTTGTCAGCCTTCGTTCCATGTCGGATTATATCTTTTGTCTCCCGTTTTTCCACGTCTTGTTTCTCATAGTTCTAGCGTCTCCTGTCACTTCTCCTGGACCTCTCCTTTGGACCTGGACTCCCTCAGCTCCACCTACCTCTTCCACAGGTCGATGCACAGTCTCCTCTCTGCTACTCCACAGTCAACCGGATCACCACCTTGACCAGTTCAGGAGTGTCGCTTTTCCTCGCAGCCCAACCTCATCACTTCATGGACAAAACCCCTTCACAAATGCTGGTCATCACCCGGTGATATTCATTTCAGTCATTCGCTCTTGTTTCTTGTATATTGTGTTGCACCCCTGTTTCACCACTGTAAATAAATCCACCTCTTGCACCGAAGCCAGCCGCCTGGGTCTGTTCTTTACTGCTCGCTCACAATTGTGTCGAGCGATCCTAACAACAGTAGACACTGCAGGTGTGACAATACCTTGTGGGCATTGCAGGTGAGTGATGTGGTGGCAATTTTTATTATAGCACCCTTTAAGTTTATTAACTGATGCTTCAAATCATGGTATGCAGTTATTTGTGTGCTTGACATTAGACAGTTGACTGTATCAGCATGTTTGTAGTGATAAGCATGCCTTTGTGTGAATGCTGAACCAGATAACATGTATTCTGTTTTAACCAGTATTCTGTTTCCTTTATCTGTTTGAGCATCTGTTTTCTGTTGTTGTATGCTGAGTATAAGAAGGGCAGTCACATTCTGTTCATTGAGCTTCCTTGCAACAGACTTGTTTAGTCACTCTGTTCAGAGAACACTCCTTCCTGCAGGAATAAATATGTAATAACTCTCAGAAATGATGTTAAATATTTATTTTACACTCACTGAGCTTTAAAAGATATTTTTTCCACAACAGTGACAAGAGGAGTGAGGTGCGTAGTTGAAGAAGAACAGATGACATTATCGCTTTCAGGCAGGAGAACTCTCAGAAGGCAGCTTGGCTGGTAAGCTTCGCAACAGTAGTTCTGAGTATCAGGTTCGGGTTCAGGAGAGAATAGTCAGGGTTCTCTGGAGAAGTTTCCTCAATGGACTGACAACAGGACTGGGTATGTAACAGTATGAACCAGCATCTGACTGAGTGAAGGGGGGAGTATAAGTACACAGGCAAACAAGAGAATAATGAGGGACAGCTGAAAACAATGGGTGATGATTAAGACTGGGGTGAAGCTGGGGCAAGTGAGATGAGATGGAGCATCTTCTTCTTCTTCTCTCGGTTGTTCCCGTTAGGGGTCGCCACAGCGAATCATCTGTTTCCACCTAACTCTATCCTTGGCATCCTCTACTCTCATACCAATTAACTTCATGTCCTCTTTTAGCACATCCATATATCTCCTCTTTTGCGTACCTCTTGACCTCTTGCCTGGCAGCTCCATCTCCAACATCCTTCTACCAATATAACCACTATCCCTACTCTGCACATGTCCAAACCATCTCAATCTGGCCTCTCGAACCTTGTCCCCAAAACAGCCGACCTGAGCTGTCCTTCTGATGTGCTCATTCCTAATCCTGTCCATCCTGGTCACTCCTAAAAAAAAAACCTCAACATCCTCATCTCTGCTACCTCCATCTCTGCCTCTTGTCTTTTCCTCACTGCTACAGTCTCTAACCCATACAGCATAGCTGGTCTCACTACTGTCTTGTACACCTTTCCTTTGATTCTTGCTGCCACTCTTCTGTCACACAACACTCCTGACACCTTTCTCCACCCACTCCAACCTGCCTGCACTCACCTCTTCACCTCTTTCCTACACTCCCCATCACACTGGACTGTTGACCCCAAATACTTAAACTCCTGCACCTTCTTGACCTCAGCCCCCTGTAACCTCACTGTTCCACTTCCCTCCCTCTCGTTCATACACATGTATTCTGTCTTGCCACAACTGACTTTCATTCCTCTTCTTTCCAGAGCAGACCTCCACCTTTCCAGGTGTTCCTCCACCTGCTCTCTGCTCTCACTACAGATCACAATGTCATCCTCAAACATCATTGTCCATGGAGATTCCTGTCTGACCTCATCTGTCAACCTGTCCATCACCATAGCAAACAAGAAGGGACTCAAAGCCAATCCTTGATGTAGCCCCACCTCCACCTTGAACTCCTCTGTCTGACTTACAGCACATCTCACTACTGTCTACTCTGACATACTTCTCTGCCACTCCAGATGCTCTTCCTGATGCAACCCTCTCTATTTATCCAGGCTTGGGACCGGCACAGAAGTCACTGGCTTGCAACCCCTGTGGCTAGATTAGGTGAGATGAGATGGAGCGTAAAAGTCCAAAAATGAAGGCAAGTGAATGGAAAATGAGAGCAAACCATAATAACTGCAAGAAGAATATGTCAGTCTAAATGAATCCACCCCATCTAGTCACAGTAACCCTTATTCTGAGTTTTTAACTGGATTCTCAGACTTTGTCTGATTTAGTGCTTAGCACAGATAAAATCATTATTCAAGTTCAAGGGTCAAGAATTTTATTGTCAATTCACCAT